CTGACGCTGCTTCACGTTACCATCCACACTCTCACGTGAGCACAGCACACCAGGTACCTCACGCTGCCTCACGTTACCATCTACGCTCTCACGTGAGCACAGCACACCGTGTACCTGACGCTGCTTTACGTTACCATCTACGCTCTCACGGGAGCACAGCACACTGTAGATCTGATGCTGTTTCACTTTGTCATGGGGCGCTGGCCGTACTCACCCGGACTGTGTAATGGATCGTGTTTTGCTTTTCGTACTGAGACACCACTAAGGTGAAGGTGTGAGTCCCGGGTGTTGTCAGCTTGATCTTGGTCAAATAATGAGGGCTGTTAATGCGAATCCCATCAATGTACGGAGCTGGGTCCGCTGTAAAAATGAAGGAAGTTCATAGAAAAGGAGACTTCAGATTCCTTTATGAGTTCAAGGTTTATGTTTATGGCAGGAAAAAATTAAATGGACCAATGTCAGTTTTTTTGATCTTATGGTACTAATGAATTAAAACACTTAAAGGCTACTCTCTAAGCCCACTGAGGTCCGCTCTGAGCAACACCCCACCGGGTTCCAAGGCCGGAGGTCTCAACAGGGATGGACCGCTCCTTCCTCCCCTGTGGAGGGACTGTGGGATCTGCCAGACCAGAAAGTCACAGCATGCTGTCAGGACCACATCGCCCTGCACAGACAAGCCCAGGCACGCGGAGTTCCGGCAGCACGCGCCGTAGCCAGCTGCACTGCTAACTGGTAGGAAGTTTGAACCCCCCGGTGACACTGAGGTAACTGGAGGGGTGATCTACTCCCCGTGGTCACTTACGGCCTCAGAAACCTGCTGGAGGGTCACCCCAGGTCAGAACCACTCGGCGCCGTAAAACGTTCTGTATAGTGACGCAGAGATGAACAGGCAGGCAGGTACTTATGCACCTGCGCGAGCAATTCAATGCACTTCTGGCCCTACTTCATACGCCAGGATCTCCACCCGCCACCATCCTTATTCCTGGCCCCTTCCTCACTGAGGGGTGGGCAGACCCCCCCCCCACTCTGGGATGAATGCCAGGCCTACTACGATTAAAGGGGGGGCTCTGTGGGAAGCCTGTGCTGCAGAGCAGAGGATCCAGCTCGAATCCACCAGCTGCTCCACAGGAGAAAGACGGGCAATCTCTTCCCAGGATGTTCCTGCCTCTGCAAACTCTCTGGACGGTCTGCTGGGTGTGGCTTTAGACTCAGTGATACACGCCGCTGCCACCACCACAACTGAAGAAACAGGATCTGATGAAGTGCTCTGACCCCCTTTTCCTCACCTCCATCGGGGCTCCCCGGATGTAACTACTGCCAAGTCCTCCCTAAGCTCCTCTCCGATCACACGGCGAGGCTTCCAGCTCCATCTCTCGCCAGATCTGACAGTGTCATCCAGGTGCTCAGCTCAACACCCTCTGCCCTCAACTGTCCAATTGCAATGGACGTTGGCCTTCATTTCTTCCTCCTGGAAACATTTCTTCTCCCCAGCAGCACTTCACTGGGTTTTCTCTCATTTTATCCAGTCTGTTCTAATTCTTTGCTGGTAACTTTACTTTGCTCAACATGAAGGCATCTTAAGAGTCCAAGGATTGGGCCCTGGGTACCCACCGCTCCTTCCCACAGGTCATGTGGTCACATGTCACCTGCACACCTGACTCAACCATGCCTCCGTCCTGACCCTATCCCAGCACTAAGCAATTCCCTGGCCAGTGTCTTCACCTGAATTTAGGGAAGTCTGCTGTCAGAGACCTCTCCAAGGTACTTAGGAGCAACGATGTCAGTCTGGAGACTAAGGTGCGCCTGTTACAGGCCATGGTCTCTGCAATCACTTGCTATGCTTCAGAGAGTTGGACAATGACTAGGGAGGATAGAAGGAGAGTTGATGCCTTTGAGCTTTGATGCTGGAGAAGAAAACTGAATGGACTGCTAGAACAAACAAGCTTGCCCTGCAGAGGTGAAACCAGGCTGCTCCTTGGAGGCAAGGATTCTGAAGCTTCGTCGGACACTCTTTGGACATGCTGTAGGGAGGGACTAGTCCTTGGAGAGGGACGTCATGCTTGGGAAGGTGAAGGGACAGCGCAAGAGAAGACCCTCGATGAAATGGATCGATTCAGTCACTAGGGTAACGGGGACAGGTGTGTCGGAGACAATAAGGTTGGCACAGGATAGAGCAGGGTTTGGGGCTCTTGTACATAGGGTCGCTATGAGACACAGGTGACTCACCAGCACTTAACAACAACAACAACAACAACAACAACAACAACTCAAATTTAAAAAACCAAAAATTTTCTTTCACTGCACAACCCGTCCGAGACTCTTCCAGCCCCTCTGTCTACTCCACTAACGAGGTCTGGGAGGAACACCAAGGGCAGGATCCGGTCTCTCTACCCTGACCACCTGGCCCAACCCTCCACCACTTCTCACATAAACGAATCAAAGTGCCCGAGTGACTTCTCTGCTTTTGTCATTTTTGGGTTCCTTAACATCTTGTTATGCACCTGGAAGTTGGACAATGACTCACGATGACAAAAGAACAGATGCCTTTGAGCTGTGGCGCTGGAGAAGAGTGCTGAATGTCCCATGGACGGCCGAGAACGCAATTATGTTCTGGACAAAGTCAAGCAGGGCTCCTCGGAAGCACGAGGATGGTGAAACTGCATCTCATGTCCTTTGGGCAGGACGTTATGAGGGGCCAGTCCTCGGAGAAGGATATCAAGGTGGGGGGTCAGCATAAGAGGCAAACCTTCAGCAGGATGAGTTTACACAGTGGCTATAATAATGGGCCAGATTATATTAAAGAAGGCCTGGGGCAGGGCTCAGATCAGATCCACGGTTCACAGGGTCGCTGTGAGGTGAAGTCGACTCCAAGGCACACAGCAACAACAACACTCGGATTTAAGCACGTGTCCATCTTCATGGGAGGGGATGCCCACTTTCTCCTGTGAAGCGGCTGATGGGTCCGACATGCCAACCGTTTCTGTGGTTGTTACGAACTGTGGAATTAGAACCGACTCCTCGCTCCCCCTCCAGCAGGTTGTCAGAGGTTGTAAACTGCACGGGAAGAAACCGTCCGCTTTTCTGCTGCGGAGCAGAGGGTGGATTCCAACTGCCTGACTTTGCCCTGAGTTAGCAGTGCAGCTCCTTACCCTCCAGGGTCACCTTTCAGTTAGCGACCTGATGTGTGAGCAGATTACAGAGACAGGGCGATTTCCTAAAATGAAAAGACGACGACGTCCACGTTCCTGAACAAGCCTCTCCGGTGACTGCCCGCACCAGGCGCACCTTGTCCAGGCCGGCAGAGGTCTTGTGACCGGAGCCTGGGCGTGTTTCTGACGCCATGGGCCGCCTCCTGCCTGCAGGCCTGCCTTCTGGTCCTAAAGCACTTTCCCCACCGTGTGGACCCTCTGTCCACACGTTTGCCTCCACTTCTGCATGACACGCCTTCCCTGTCATTCACAGTTCATCCTACTCCTCCTCAGAGACCTTCCACACCCACCACCAGAGGAACGGCCACTAACACGTGGGCCTAGATTCTCTCTGCAGACAGCACGCCCTACCCGGCAGCTGTTTACTTCCCATCTCCCCCAGTGGGACAAAAACACCATAAAAGATGAGTCCTGTTTTGTTCACCAATGTCTCCAGTGTCCAGAAAACTGTACCTCTTAGTAAATAACGAAAAGAAATGTGACCAAGGAAACCCAAAGTGGCTTCAATGCGGTGCGTTAAAGGCCCGCAGAGAGGAGACTCACTTTGCCTGGCAGCATCTGGGAGGTTTACTACAGAGGAGAAGCAGTTCAGCTTTTAACCAGCTGCATTGAGAGTTGGGGGCAAAGACGTAGGTCGAGGGCTGAGGAGAGACACTCTCAGCAGGGAAATCAAAGTGTTTCAGGGCGCTCAAGGCGCTGGGGAGTGAGATGATGAAATGCGGAGAGGGAGAGCCGGGTCAGACAACATGCAGGAAAGTCTCACACGCTGAATAGTTACAGCCGATTGAACAAAGCATGCGGAACCAGAATACTTGTGATCAGAGAAGACGGCATTACTTCAGTGTGATAAAGAAGTCCCTGCCGGCAAGGTGGAAGGATGCAGCTGGATCTCAGAAGGAAAAACCCGAGCGGGGTGGACACCCAACCATGTGCTCACTCTGCTTCTAAGCACCACCCACGCGGCCCCTACGTCCAACCACACTCGCCATTTCTCAACTTATCACATGAAAAAAAGTCAATCAGTGTTTGTCTGGCTACTCACACATACCTCAGTAATAGGCTCTGTTTGTCTACTCACACATACCTGGGTAATAAACTTTTTTCCCATCAGTCTTGTACACAACCATTGTGATAAATTCTCGGTTATTTGCAAAATCATCCTAAAATCAGAAGAATTCAATGTGGTTACGAAAAGTTCGAAATACTGCTTGTTCAGTGTTTAACAAGATTTTAAAAAAAGAATATCAATGAAGAGCATTACCTTCAGCTACTTTATTTAGTGATTTATGATTTTTCCAGAATTAAACAGAGGCTGAAAGGCTCTGGGCTATCCAAATAATAGTTACTTTTTATAGAATGAAATCTAATTATCAAACAGTTTCAAACCTCAAACTCATGTTAACATCAATATGACTAAGATCTAACGCATACAGTCAACTCCCATAATTTAACCAAGAAAACACTAAAAAAAGAAAAAGTGGCCAGGAGGTGCTGTACCCTGTGTGTCCCCCTGACCAAAGCCTGGTAGCCTGGCTCACAGAGTCTCCCCTCTGTACAGCTGTCCCCAAGGCCCTGGACCCTGTGTGTCCCTCTGACCACAGCCTGGCTCAGTGTGAGAATCTGCCTTCTGGACAGCTGTCCCCCCTCTGGCCACAGCTTGGTTCATTAAGAGTCTCCCTTCTGTATGGCTGTCCCCCTACTGACCACGGCCTCGTTCATTGTAAGAGTCTCTCCTCTGACCACATCCTGGTAGCCTGGTTCATTCTAAGAGTCTCCCCTTCTGTACGGCTGTCCCCCCTCTGACCACATCCTGGTAGCCTAGTTCACTCTAACAGTCTCCCATCTGTGCAGCTGTCCCCCAGCTAACCACAGCCTGTTTCACTCTAGGAGTCTCCCCTCTGTGCGGATGTCCCCCCTCTGACCACAGCCTGGCTCACTGTATCCTCTGACCATGGCCTGGTTCACTGTCCCCTCTGTATGACTGTCCCTGCTGACCACGGCCTGGTTCACTGCCCCCACTGACCACGGCCTGGCTCACTGTCCCCTCTGTGCAGCTGTCCCCACTGACCACGGCCTGACTCACTGTCCCCTCTGTATGACTGTCCACGCTGACCACGGCCTGGCTCACTGTCCCTCTGTGCAGCCGTCGTACCTTGTCGGTGATGTGTCGGCTGAGCAGCACCCACACAGCGGCGCCCCCTTGTGGACACTGCACCTCCAGCTTGTACTGGGGGTTGTTGGCCAGGCTGTAGGCGTCCTTGACCGGCCCCTGCTTGGCGTCCCAGGTACTGAAAGGCAGAGTCAGCAAAGGGAAAGGGGGCGGTTACTCTTACAGGAAGGAAACCCAACCTTGTCAGGAGTGCTTTCCACACAACGGTGCTGTCACGTTTTTACTTGGTCTTACTGTGCTTTTGGCAAAAGCAAGAACAGAGAGCAAACAACCCGTACGTGATAGTCCTTTGTGGGCATGAGAGAGAGACCATGGGCCTTCCTAAATCAACTGGAACACTCTCCAGGGAAAACCCTGAACCTGCTGGAAAACACATTCGGACACGTGCAGAGAGGTACCTGTGAATGCATGTGGACTCTTTAAAAAGACTTGGATTCCAACTCAGATAAATCACATCATAGTACTGGCACACATCATCCCAGGAAATCCAAAATATCCCTGAAAAAGAAAGCTCTCAGTTGATCCTGTCTGAAATCTCACTGCTGTGCTCAGCAGAAATGTTTCACCCCGCGAGAGCAGACCCTCATTTAAGATCAAGGGTGTCAGCCTCTGACAGAGGTCCTCACCGTTGTCTATCTTCTGAGCTGTTCGGGGATCAAAGTTTAAATATTTCTGCAACTCTGGGGTCCAGCTTTTGGTGTCATTCTCACTGTATCTCCCTTTCCAACGTAAGTGACTCCAGGGGTTTTTCAACTGGATGAATCGCAGGCCCTGTCGAGAAGCACAGGCCATCATACATGACAAAACCCAGCCCGCTTAGTTAGTTTTTCCTTTTTCTACCTTATCTTTTTTAGGGTTTTCTCCACAACACTCTCAATGTCTTCCCCGTCTCTCATGATGCTGCCAATCAGCCCCGTGGTGAGGGACATCCCTAACTAGTCAAGGTCAATGCCTGCAGAACTGCTCCTCCCTCTCAAGCTTGCTCTCATAATGACTGTGAATTTCATCATCATTGTCCTTCCAGGCTCCGATTCACGCACCTGAACACCACTCGTCCTTATCACCAACTGCCTAGTGATTGTGGCAAATGACATTTCTAAAACACGCACCACTTAGTTTAATATTATATATATAATACGTATACGTTGTTGTTGTTATGTGCCATCTAGTTGCCTGCGACTCACAGCGACCCTATGTACAACAGCCCTAAACCCTGCTCTGTCCTGTGCCAAACACACTGTCTCCGACACACCCATCCCGATTACCCCAGTCACTGAATCAATCCACCTCATAGAGGGTCTTTTCCTCCTGCGCTGTCCTTCCACCCTCCCAAGCATGACGTCTCTCTTTAAGAACTGGTCCCTCCTTGCAACATGACCAAAGTATGTCAGACCAAGCTTCAGAATCCTTGCCTCCAAGGAGCAGCCTGGTTTAACCCTCTCCAGGATGAACCTGTTCATTTTCTTAGCAGTCCATGGTATATAACATATATACTATATATAATACATAATACGTGTAACATATAATATATATATATAATGTTGTTTTTTATTGCCGTCAAGTCGAGCACAAGTCATAGTGGCCCTATGAACAAGAGGCCTGAAGCCCCTCTACAACTATCGACATTTATCAAAGTTCACAGAGTTTCTGGAGGCGTGTTGTTTAGGAAGTGGATGCCACTCCTATAATGTATACTATGTAAATTGACGCACTTCTCAGGTTGTGATTAAAACTGAACCAGTTCCATGTGTCTGAAATAGAGACTGTGAAGGGGGAGCTTCCCCTCCATGATGATACAGGATCTAAGCTGTCTTGTTACTTAATGTCAAACTTTAATCAACAGTGTGTTTCAGTTCTTCTGGATCACACTCCTGGTTAAATTATATATGTTATAAAGGTAACTTATATTGTTATTTAGAAATACAAATGATAAATGTTACAAAATATGTATGTTGTTCTTACAACAACTGACAGCTGACTCTCCAGTGGGTTTGCAAAGACAGTAAATTGCATGGGAGCTGGTGGATTCAAAGCATGTGCCTTTGGGATTGCAGTGCAGCTTCTTACCACCACGCCACCAGAGCTCCCAAAGAGTGTGTGTGTGTGTGTGTGTGTGTGTATACACATATAAATAAAAGTTAAAATACGTATTAATCACTCTTAAAGGGACAATCTAATTCCCTGAAGTATGGGGTTGCACGAGCGTAAGAACACACGGCTGACTTAGAAAGCTTTGAGACTGTCCCTTGGAAATGACCCCTCCTGCCTTCCTGCTGGCGTCCGTCCACGCTCCTCACCGGGAACCAGGCTGAGCCACACATGGTGGTGCCGTGAGTGCTGCTCCTCCCAGGGGTGTAAGCAGAGGGCCCTGGAGCGCACCCCTCCTCAAACGAGCTGGTGACACGATGGCTCGAGCACTACGCCTTCCTGGGAGAGACCCCCACCCCCGGGTCAGAGCAATCCATTCCTCAGCGAAGCAGAACAAGCCACAACCTGAGAAGCCATGAAGTCTAATACTTCGACATCAGAGAGCCGGTGTTCACAAGAGACACGACATAGGCTGATGGCAGCTTCAGGGTCCAGCCCTACGGTGGCCTCATACTCTAGCCTGACGGCAGCCTCAGTCTCACGCTCCAGCCCGAAGGCGGCCTCACTCTCTAGCGCGATGGCTGCCTCAGGGTCCAGCCCAATGGGGACCTTGGGCTGCCATGAGAACCAGCAACTGCTCACAGAGGCCGCCAGGGATCCTTCCACCCCGTTACTGCGACACTGTTCACCCCCACGACATTTTCTGTGCCCTCGACCTTAGAGGCCAACAGTGACCACAGATCCAGACATCAGCACACTGTCCACAGCCTTCCATAGGAGCTCACGTCCACCATAACGTGGCTGTCATTTTTATAAAGAGCTCTAACAGCACTTCCGTTCCAGCCTCAGGACCTGTGCTCCTATGGTCACATCTCCCATGCTTTTATGTCCCGGTGGCCGACGGCTGGTTTCCCATGAGTGAGGATGACAGGGGAATCGACGTCTCTGAGCTGTGGTGTCGGGGAGGAGTACTGACTATCCCGTGGGCTGCTGAAAGACCCCTAAATATGTCGTAGAGAAAGTGCCACCACGGCTGCTGCTCAGAGGTCAGGATGGGAAACGTGACCCCACGTTTGTTGTCAGGAGAGGCCAGTGCTTGGGAAAGGTGGACGGTCAGCGAGAGGGTGAGGGTCAGAAGATGCTGGACAAGACGGACTGACACAATGAGCACATCAGAGATGTGAGGATGTTGGCTGGGGCAGGGCTCAGCCCTGCTGTCCCGAAGGTCATCACGAGCTGTCCCTGCCATCACAAGCTCTCCCGAGAGTCATCACGAGTTGTCCCTGCCTCCGCGGCCCCTAACAGCAACGCCAGAGGGCAGGCTGTTTACGGTAAAAGGCGGGATGGGAAAGCGGTCTCAAGCTCACATTCAGGAATCTACTGTCCCCCGAGTCTCCGGAAAGTTCTTAAACAGCAAGAAACGCAGTAAAAGCATTTCAGGCCCCACCTTGAATTCTCTAATATCCAGCACCGCGTATGCGTGGGTGGGGACCAGGCCCCACTTCTCTCCTTCCGCTTCAGTCATGGTTCCCGTGGATGCTGTGATGAGGACGTCTCCTTTGTGGAATCTGGAATTATCCGCAAAGACAAGCAATTCAAGAAAACTGATGTGCTTCCCTTGAGCCTAAAGGCCTACACAAACTTTAAATCTTTCCTGGAACGTGTTACCCATTCCCCCTAACATGAACTGCTACCATGCAGAGAACACTATTTCACAGCCTAAGAGACAAGATAAACTAACTGTACCTATTTCTCTGATCCCTTGCCAGGTTTAATATTTTCACTCTCAGATATAGAACTGTCAAGGAAGGGAAGCAAAAGGTACATTTTCCAAAGATTTACAAGAAGGAATGAAGATAAAAAACACCAAATGCACTTAACAAAAAGGGTCGTAATTTATTTACCAACTCACTGAGCCTTCTTCTAGTTTTGCTGTCAGTGTGGAGACAATTTCCCAGTTTCTACAATGTTCCCTGTTGCTGCTGAGGACCACTGAGTCAGAACTGCCCAACAGCTGACCCTCCAGCAGGTTTCCAAGGACAGCAGGTCACACAGGAGAAGGCCCATCTTTCTCCCTCGGAGCAGCTAGTGGATCTGAACCCATGACCACTGGACTGGCAGCACTTCCTTGCTAATAAACCACCAGTGCTCCTTCTTCAAGTTCTAGGCCCGCTTTTCCCAATCCCCTCACACTTTACCAGCGCAGGGAAACACAGCACTTTCCTGTATCACACATTCCTGATTAAAACAGTTTATGTTACCTACAATCTGTATTAACTACAATCATCACAAAAGATCACGGACGACTGACTGTAACAAGTGTATAACGGGACATCTGCAGACAGTCTCCGTGGTAACTGCTGCATCCTGCCCCTGGGGTGACAGGCAGACTCTGAGAGCAGGAGAGTCCTGACCTTTGGTGCAGCATTCGGAAGGAGCTGTCCCTGCTGAAGTTCTGGCTGTCTGAATGCATGGCGATCCGCTCAGGAATCCACCCCGTCAGCGCGTGGAGGTCAATGTTCTGCAAGAAGCACACACAGCAGCGTGGTCAGACCGTGTTCTCGGCCCTGGGTTCTCTGCCCAGGAAGTCCCCGAGGGCGCTGTTAGCTCCCTGATTTACCAAGACTTGGCAGGAATGAAGCGTCTTGATAAAATTCTTACTTAAATCAAAGACTTTCAGACTTTGATTTAAAGGCTTTCTGAGACAGGCAGTCCAGGTTACAAACGTCTACACATAGACAGGCATGAACCTCAGTGGAGGCTGGTATATTAAACCTTCAGAGTATATACCATGTTGTGCAATAACTTTTTTGGTGCATATTGTTGTTGTTGTTATAAACCATCAAGTCAGAAATGACCCCTCGCTGACCCTCCGGCAGGTTTCCAGAAGCAAGATCACACTGCCCGTGTTTGTCCTGCGGAGCAGTTGAGGGATCTGAACCATGTCCCGCTGGTCGCTAGTGTAACTCCTCACCACTACCGCATTATTATACTGAAGTCCTGCAGGATGTCTGGAAACGGTGTTTAATGTCGTTAGGTTTTTAACACATAGAAAAGTACAACATTTACTAAGACAACAGCTGACTTACTGATGTGAGTTATGCACAGTTCCTAGCGGTTCTAATTCACCTACAAATTCCACTTGAAGAGAATGAAGAAAGGAACTGGTGTGTTGCCTGGGGACGTCCTGGACTGGACAATAGATTTCTTTTTCCTAATTGGTAACTGTAAGGAAATGTCAGAACATGTGACAATGATGACGGGGAGAGTCACTAACCATTTAGTGACTCCCTACAACAGACATCGGGCTAAATGGTTCAAATTCTCATTCTTTGTTTCTCCTTTTAAACATCAGTAGGTCCGCCCACAGGCAATGGGTCAGGAAGCTCAACTCAATGATTGAGGTCTGAGCCACCTTAGTGACTGACCACGCAGGTCAAGTCCATCCAACTGCACTTCACCGTGACCTCTACGTTCTCTGCCTAGTGACATAGAAACCAGAGGAGCAGGGGAGACCGGACGTGAGGGGGTGTCCTAACGCTGTGCGAATGATGGGTGCGGTGCACACACGTTACTTCATCTAATCATCACAACAACGAGAGGGTAACATCTTTACCTCACAGACAAGCAGAGAGGCTACGAAAGGCTAAACACAACTTCTGAGGCCCCAGGCTGGCCAGTGTTTACTCAAGGTTAAGCTAATGTTGGCCTAGGCCAACCTCATGCAACTAAATGACACTGGTACATCTGCTGTTGTTGTTAGGTGCTGCCGGGTCAAGTACGGGGACAGTGGCCTGTGACTCTCAGTTCCGATCCCTGCCCCCTCTGTGTCTCTATTCTCACAGGCACGTTGTACTGATGTTGTTGTTGTTAGGTGTTGTATGTCACATAGCGGCCTGTGACTCTCAGTTCCCATCCCTGCCCCCTCTGTGTCTCTATTCTCACAGGCACGTTGTACTGTTGTTGTCAGGTGCTGTCGAGTACGTCACACAGCGGCCTGTGACTCACAGTTCTGAGCCCCACCCCACTCTGTGTCTCTGTTCTCACAGGCACGTTGTACTCAAGCTGCCTAAGCAAAACCGCACCCAGCAAACAGACCTTGCAGAACCAAACTTCGAGCTGACGAGTGTACAAATGGGACATTACAGGCCAGCCCACTGATGTGAACAGACTTCTCTGGAAAAGACCCCTGGTGTCTGACGGGACTTCTCTCTGAACACAGCGGCACACACACACACACACACACACACACACACACACACACACACCTTCAGCTTACTACAGTCCCTACAATGTGCTTTTCTTAACAGGAGAACACGGGCTCACAGGAGGGTGACTGGTCAGCATTTTTCATGGTAGTAAGTTTTCCTTTAAACAGAGCACTGTTTCCGAAGTGCACATGTGAAACTGTCCCCCAGGCAGTGCTGAGGGCCCCCGGGGCCTCTGTCTACTTACGGAGTTGGATCCGGGGAAGTCGTAGCCCCCCATGACCTTCATGTAGGCCTTCTCTATGAGAGACACCCACAGTTCACTTCTGTTGTTGGAGTAAGAGCAGAGCAGCTCGCCCTTATGATCCACAGGCAACTGGTCATCAATTATCACCTGAACAGAAAGAACACGCACTTCCTTAGGTGATCCGAAACTCCTTCGTCTCTTTCCTGACGAAAGAAAAGTCATTCTGTTGTACTGCAAACAAAGGGCACAATGTGCTGCTTTCGGTGGTGATAATGTCATTTCTAAAATCTCAAGTACAAATTCTACATGATGTCTTCACTCAATCTTATGAGTTAATGTCACTGTCAAGTAATGGACTTGAGTCACCTGGTTAAACGGCTAGAACTGTCATCAAAATTAATGTAGATTTTAGAAATGACACAGTATAAAATAACTACAAAAGGGTTTCATATCAAGAAGGTAAATACACCGTTATTTGTTCCTTCAACTGTGCAAAACAGTGTATTTCTGCCTTGATCTATTAAAAGACAGAGTGCATAGCTAAAGAAGTAGAACATTATGGTTATAAAGTACATTTAGGTAATCAGATAATCGCAATCTATAATATGAACCCCCCAACTATTCTCTGGGATGTATGTTTCCAAATACTCGGCCAGGGCAGTGTGGCTCATAGAGCGTGCCTGGACCGCGGCATCAGCATCAGAGGACAGAGGGCAAATGCTGGACGGACAGGAGTAGAGACGTGGGAGATGTGTGCTCAGCCAAGCCCTGCGTGGGGGGTCTGTGCACATCAACATCGGAGTCACTGAGTTACCAGGCAAGGCTGCCCACCTGGGCCACTGGGCAGCAAGGACTCAGCGTGTCCAGGCCAGGCCTGGGTTCCCCTGAGGAAGGGTCCAAGTGAGCAGATGGGGGCTCAGAGACCCCCAGCATGAAGAACCCGGGCAAAGAGCTGGAGGTCCTTAAAGACCTCCCGGGTCAGGTCACTGCGGCCTCTACAGCCCCTTCCAAAGGGAACCACAGGGCTTGCAGAGCTCCTTGGACCTCAAGCTGAGGCTCCTGGCTGAACTCCTCCATCTGACACATCTAAACAGCTGCATTTCTCTTTAATTAATAAGATAATTCAGAATATCAGACTAAATTTTATTGTATACATTACTAGTCATTAGCTCAATTACTTCTGGAATTCTTTAGAACTATTTTACTTGTCAGGGTATTTATTTCTCATTATAATCACAGGGGTCATTCGCACAAAGGTGACACAGGTCAGAAATGAACTGCGTGGACTTTCCAATGGGCTATACCACCAACCATCCCCTCAGCCAGTGATTCCTGAGGACTGAAGGACGAGGACGAGGAGTCGGGTGAGGACGGGGAGGCCGGGGGACTGGGGGGCCGGGCGAGGATGGGAGGCCGGGGGACTGGGGGG